ACGTGACATTAACTTTGCAAAAGAAGAAAATTATAATGCATTCGGCCCTCATTTCGAGTGATTTGATACTAGTTGATATCTCGTAAAATGTGGATAATTTTATTAGGCACAATCTTTTTGAAATTACAGAACAATTTTCCTTCCGATGATAAGTAAAATTGTCCATTTGCACATTTACCAATTGTTTTATACAATTTATTACCAAAAAAGAAATTCATATGATTACAAATGCTAAATGCTTACTACTTAGTGCTAAGTAGCATTCCGATACCAATGAAATGAACGTTCTTGGTTTAAAACCCTAACATACTTTAAGTAGTTTTCTCCTCAGAAGCTGATAGGTAATATTAATACATGTACTAATAATGTAAGAAATGCAGAAATACTTGTTTGATCATATAATGATATTAATTTCAAACTACGTTTCATGATAACGTTCGCTGACTTTTCGTGACATTATTTAATGACATTAGCAAAATGTTTTGGAGATACCTGAAGAGTTTTGATATACATCTTATCCAAACAGTACAAGAAATTTCCTCGTCGTTTTGAGAGGTTCCTAAATGCATGTGGCCGGTGAATTTTGTAAAAAACGACCTTCTTTGAACATGAGCATAAGAAATGAGAAAGTGTTTAAAATATGTAGGATTTATGTAGTTTACAATATTTTTTTTGAAAGAATTGACGTCGCCGTTTGAAAATCACACCAAGCCTGATTCTATCTCTTCTGCTACATTTGTCCCGCTTCATGCAATCTGTTTTGCTCACTTAGAAGTAACCGTAATTTGCCAGCCTCTCCTGTCCCCGCGTTTTTTCCTGCACCGGAATCCTCCTCCGCGAGTCGGGCAGCCCCTGCCATCTGTAATTACACTAAAACAGTAATTTTCTTTCCCCATCCCGCGCCACCAAGCAACTGTTATACGTTAATAAAACCCTAACATCTTAAATTGCCGCGCACTTGCCCGCTCCGCCCGCCCGCCCGCCGCCGGGCCTTCGCATCCCCCAATTCTGTGCACCGTGGCCCGCCCTCGCCCTCGCCCTCGTCCTCAGTGTCCCCACGCGCTTTCCTCGCCTGACGCCTTGTCCTATCTGCCGCAGGGGTGGCCCTCACTGGCGGACGCGTGGCGCCCCGCTGGGGTGCGCTGGTTCCCGCAGCTCGCTCGCGCCAGCAAAGCCCCACGCACAACTGCACTTCACTTCTATTATAACGCAAGCTTTTCAAAAGCTCCGTCGGCGCCCAACTCAACTAACAAAATCTCAACAACTTATCCGTATCAGAAAAAGCCTTCATATTTATTTTCTCATCCCTTCTAACAAGACTCCTCACATAACAATAATTATTTATAATTTATAATCTTTTATTCATTGTTTCCTATTGTGATATTTTCCTCGATTTTTCGGTATAAAATAATTGACTATCAATAGTTGTCCAAGAACAAGGCAGGATTTTCCATCATTTGAAAACAGTTGAACAGCGTACTTTACGTAGTACGTTACGTGAACAGATGTTCACATCGTCAAGGTACCATATACAATGTTGTCATTAGCCTGTAAATCCAATTAGAAAGTCTACCATACTGTAATTAATGCTGTAGGTCTGTTCGAAAAGCCCACTAGGTTGTGGCCAACATCAAGATGACGCGAGCGGAAACAAATTATCTATCGCCTTGTTATTTAATTGCGTTATATTTTTTTTTGCTGCTGATGGCAACACTCTCATCAGTTTTGAAAAAATATTTTTAAACAACTAAAAAAGCAAATTTTGTAATTTTAATTACATTATTTAAAATACATGTTCGTCTCTTTTTTGGTACAGGAATAGTGAACAATAACGTCGATAATAACGCCAGAACAGAAAAAATATTAAACTTTGTGGTATTACGCATGGAAACAGACACTATTTGCAAATAAAAATTGTTTAATCTTATTCGTCTACTGTTCGTGTTATATGAGGTTCATTCTCGTAACCATTTCTTACATTCCAATTATCGTTCGTCTTCTAGCGGTGACTCGTACTATTGTGATTAGACAGTTTGGAGGAAAACCCCTCCGATTTGGTCCTTTCTAGGACTATTCCGTTCCAACTAAAATGGCATATTCCAAAAATGTCGTGTAGAGACTACGAGATTTTTCCTTTTTTTTAAAATTCTCATCTTCGATTTATAGATACTAGTTACCGTGTTATCTCAGGGTGTTGTATAGAACCAAGTACGATGTTGTAATTAATGATGCCATCGACTGAGGACGAGTCGCAGTGATAAATGCTGGGCTTACGAAGCCTGCGAATAAATCCCGGTAGAGTGATCACCACCGCAGGGCGAAGTGCCCCCAGTTTGGGCATACGTGGTCGGGGACCCGAAGGGGACAGGCGACGTCACCGCACGTGTCCCGTGCGAGGCGACATTCCACGTGTTGCGCGGCACAAAAGCGCGGCCCGCCGGCGGAATTGCGGCACCTGGAAACCACAACAAGGAGCCACGCGGAGACGCGTCTCACGCTGGGGGACAGAGCGCGGAGGGGGGCAGCCGCTTTGTGCGACTCGGCTGCCGCCGCGTTTCGGCCCAACCGCGGCGACGTCTCCTCTTCCTGTTCGCCGTTGCGCGCGCCAGCACCCGCCCTGTCGCCTGGGGCCGGCGTCCCCCGCAGGAGACCCACGAGGGCCGGGCCGCACGGCAAATCACAGCCGGGACGGCTTCGACTAGCTAGATAGCTAGCGCCGATTCGCGGGAGTTCTAGCCGCCGACAGGCGAACGCCACACTACCAAACGGACGACGGTCGATCTTTCCTTCTTCTTTCCCTGTATCCTTGAATATTTAAAGAAATAAACAAATTTAATTTTGTGAAACAACGTATTGCATGAATGGTTCGTAAAATAATAACTGTTGGACAATTCGTTGTTTCGTAATCTATACGCTTCATCCACATTTGAACTAAATAGATCATACGCCATCATACATATTTGATTACACAAGAATGCACCTACACTTTAAGGTGTTTTCGGAAAGATATTGTACAGCTCGGCAATACCCATGACGTGTCCAATGTAATCCAGGATGCTACAAATGTCACGACAAGAGGTTGAACCGGGACAGGTGTCTCAGAGCATCTACCGAAGTCCGTGCAGGGCTCCTGACCGGGAGGTCCTATATTCGGGTCCCGACGGTGGCAAGACTTTCGAGACTATCTTCTCAGCAAGGTGGAATTCAGTGACTATGAGGAGGAGGGATTCTAGCGGCCGGCTGTGCACTCTACTGCAACACATGCGCTTACAGCTTGTCGTGGCTGGGGCGGTGCATGTGTGGGAGGATACTTGGTGGCGGAAACCCCACCAGCCTAAGGTAGATTAGCACCGGAACTCGCCATCCAGCGGCGGACGATCACCTTTTACAAAACATGCACTATACTTATGGGACTAATGACCTCGTTATTTGAGGCGCCCGGAATCGCTACGAACCGACCGACCGACAAGCGGTTGGGGTGGTGGTGAAAGAGAAGCAATGGCTGTCAGTTTACGATTACCACGTGGTCCCCTTTCGCAAAGCATCGCTGAACTGGACATTGTTGCGTCGCCCTTTCTTCAGGTCCCTGCCGTGTTTGTCGCAGGGGTGCGCGAGAAGGGCCCCGGTCCTTTGGCCGCCGCCGCCGCCCGTCTCGCAAGCAATTTGTTTGCGGTGCCGCCCGCTGTCCCCGGGTCGCGACCTTCAAAAGCCCCGCGGTCGCTTTGCTCCGCGCCGCCCCGCCCCGCCCACGCGGGCTCCGACGAACACCGCGCGAGAATTAGCCCCAGACAGGAGTTAATAGCCAGGGATTGGCTTATGCGCCAAAACGGTTTGTTGACATAGCACTTGAGATATTGATAGGAAAAGAGTGAGGTTGTTGTATTGGTGCAGTGGTGACGTTTTCTCATATAGCTATCAAAACGAAATTTGTACATTTTTTATACCCATAAATATATATAAAATGGTGCTTATTGTGAAGAATAAAACACCTTCAAAAAATTGTTTGATATCGTACACTGATACCTCTTGATTCATTGCATTCTTAAAGACAGTATATGAAATGAAAATGGCTTATCAATCTACAAACTGCGATAAGGATGGAGACATGTTCGTGATCCATTGTTCTACTCACTACCCTCGTAACTACTTGAAATAGATTGACGCGCTCAGAAAGTACGTATCAGAGCTGGATGTTTCTAGACATCTTTTGCCGTATCACTTTGGCGCTTCATACCGCTAAAACCCCTGGTGACGAAAGTTCTCACACTTTCGGACAATGGACTTACAATCCGTCCTTCGCAATGTAGACATACAAGTTACCTGCATTTCGAGAATAGTTTTCACGCACAATTTAGCGCTTGAACATTTCACAACTATAAGAGGAGAATTTCTACAGTGCTTGAACTAACGTCATATTTGAGCTCTGTACCAAGCACAATAACCATAATGCAATTCCTATACTTAAGTGGAATATATCACGCAATGTTCACTTCCAAAATTGCGGTTTATTACGAAAGTATACAAGATTTTAGATTGAATCTAGTTGAAATCCTTAAGATCGCCAGGTCAGTCATTGAAGAAATACGTACACACAATTGCGAAAGGAACTTTGTTTATAAATGTTATAATGCAGAGGAATTAAAAATTGAACAGTGCATATCTACAACAAAAATTGTTAATAAGGAATTCTGATAGACTAGGCGACAAAAAAAGTCTCGTATAAACGTTTTACTAAAAAAGGTAATAACATTTAAAAAAATTCATGGCAAATGTCATTGTCTTTTATCCCGTCGGTCCGGGGCTCGGCGCCGTCAGTAACCGGGGCTACCAGATGATAACCCGTCCAGGAATCGTGGTTTTTCGAGTTGCTTTTCAAGTTTAAGCAATTCGGCCAACGACGCTGGCTCTGCTGAAAATCTTGGTACCATAAAAAAGCGGCATATGTACGTCTGTCTTTTGTGTCGCAATGGCAAGTGTGTGACGATCACGTGTGATTGCAGGTGATAGACGCCGAGTTCCACAGCAGCCCGGCCATCCCGTCGCTCGCCGTCATCGTGGTGTGCTCCGTGCTGCTCGCCGCCATGGTGCTGATCGCGTCCGTGCTCGTCTGGAAGTGAGTAGACCGGCGGCGCAGCGCCATTTCCACCCGATCATTGCATGTTTTCCATATATATATATATATATATATATATATATATATACATATATACATTAATAAGGCTTCACTAGCCTCTAGAATGAATATCCGAGAGAAGAGAATTTGACAGTGGTAATTTTCAATAATTTATAAGATATTTAACACAGCGAAACCCCAAAAAATCTCCAGAAAAATTCACATAACTTTTCTTTAAGTTTAAAAAAAAAAAAGTACATTAATCTACGAAAATTAAATTATATTTTACTTGGCACTTCTGTCCGAAAAAATGTTCAATTTATGGACACTTGAAAATCATTTGTCAAAGTCATTTTTCTTAAGGAACACAAAACTAAAATATTGACCAAGTAAACTATCAGGCACTACATTAAAGATCCATAGGCTTCAATCATTGTTAAATTCATATATGCTATTATCAAAGCATTGAAGTTTCTGGTTAGTAAACATCTTTTTGATCAATACTACTTAAATGTTAGAGCATTAGGAGTCGGTGTTCAACCTCCATCATTGGCAAATGTTGGCTCCTAAGGAATGAAATTCACTCTTTGGGCAAGAGTGCGAAAGACTTACATTACAGTTAAACATAAACTACACAAGGGTATTAGGAAACACGTAGTGTCCAAATGCCTACCAAAAATTGAAGTGAAATACGTGTATTACGAATTTCATACCAAACAAATTGTGCAATGAACATTTTATTAAAATTGCCTTCTAAATTTCCAGCAATTTACAATGAAATTAAATCTTTTTTTCTACTCATGCTCATGACTAAAATATAAACATTTCCCGTGCAGCGTTAAGCAGGATTATGACATGTGCGAATCAATACACTTTCCGGAAATAAAATCGTATGCTATTTCTTGGGCGTCTGCTCCTACTTGCGTGACATGATAGATGCATAACATACAATTATTGTCCAAACTACTACATAGGATGTTTGTATCGTGGATTGACCTGTTCCTGGAAAGTATTCAGCACGCAAACCTTCCTGTATAATCATGGAACATCTAGATTAAAGATAAGCAGTTCTAAATAACGTAGAGAAACAGTCCGATCACATCTGAGTAAAGGTTTTACGTTTTGAATTTGCGTGTCATTCGTATAACGACATGCTCCATCACTTCACAGTTGTAAATGCTGTTCACGCGAATCTCGCAGTCCTTCTCCGCCGTTGCCAGCGTCGCGCGGAGATGACGAGACAAGACGCTATACTCTATGTTTCCTCCTGGATACGGCTCCTGCTATAAACTGCATTATCGTCACACGAGAAACCGTCAGAATACAGTTCAGCGATACAAATCACTGTCGATGAAGATCCGAAGAGTAAGTGGAGACATTAACCTTTGCTTTCCCGCGAAATATGACTAGCAGAACTAGACAACAGCGGTAGCGATTTTTAGGGTGGCTTACAATGAATTTAAATTCATATACTTTTTTTTTTATTCTCGATGAAAAAAACAGTTTACACGAAGGCATTGGAATTGATGAATATGCATGGACGCCACTAACTAGCTGCTGCCATACAGAAAATACCAAACCTGAAATTAAGTGAAATGACACACAATAAAGAAGCGGGCGAAAGGGGGTTTTGCGCAGCAGAACAGCCGTGGCACTTCCGTTTGAATTTTCGCCCCGGGCGGAGCGGGGTGGGTGGGGTGGTGGGGGGCGGGAGCGGGGTCGGATTCGACGCCTTAAGAACCGCTTGCTCGGTCGGTCGGCAGAGAAGACGGCGCGAAGGGGGGATCTGGCGGGAGGAAAAGGGGCTGCGGGGCGCGCTACAACCTGAGCAGTAGAGGGAAGAAGGGTCTAACTAAGTCATCTGCAGTGACGCTAGCGTATTCTGACTTGATCATTATGGCTTCATGTGTCAGCCTAGCGGAGACTTTACACCAACGCCACTGATAAGAAGTATATGAGCTCGATCGGTAAGGGGGGTGCTGTGTAGAATTTGCATACATAAGACATGTGAGAGTTTGATGATACATTATTTCTTCTCTCTGATAGGCAAAAATCCACCGAAAATCCTCACGGATACGGTTATGAATCTTTTCTCTCAACAGTATTACTCTCAAGCCGGCATGAGGCGATCTTCAGATTGCACAGGCCTAATGTCTAGATTAACCTCCTCGGACATGTGGTCACTGATAAGAGATGATGAGCTGATAGTCAACCTGTTTCTATAGATTTATGTTGTTCACAGCTACGTTGCTATGGTTACGCGAATAGGATAAATACAAGTTGAGAACGAAGATCCCCCGCGCGGCTTCGTAGACGTTTAGTACGGTACACTGGCTAGACAATTTCGCCTTTAAGAGCTTATCGATGATAGGAAGGCATAGAGGTTTACAAGAGACTAACTATTCGACCTTCACGCAGTCAACACGGTTAATTTCTTGAGACACTTAATATAGGTATGACTAAGTACGTCGAGGTATTATAACAACATTCTTTGAGTACCTCGAAAAACTCGGAGACTTATTTTAGAGCGGAGAGAGGTGTAAACGCCTTCAAGCACGGTTGGCCGGTATGGTTCGTGAAGACGACTGATGCCAATACATTACTAACAGTTGTATATCGACCTTACGGAGCTCTCCACGTATATTTGACCTAGAAAGAGGAGAGAGGACGAAGATTGTCAAGCAACAGTGTAAAGGGGCGAGGTCGTACTGAAAAGGGAGGATAGTTTGGAGAAACTGGTCTTGCATGGTAGGACAATTAAAAAGATAACCCATAATATGTGTGCGATCTACGAGTGTATTAGGAGTAGTGTTTTAATGTGAGAATACATTGTGCAAGTGTAACATATATACTCACTATATAGTACAATAAAATGCATATATGCTATCAATTGACTTAGCAGACACACACTGTGTGTAAAACGCGCAAATCACTTTCGATATCTAGATTTCATCTCACTGAGAGGTTTCAATCGAAATCTGTGAAACGTGTCTTTGCTCTACCGAACTCGCCAGCTATCTATACGATATGATCTACATCTATGGTATAAAGGGAGCAGAAGCGTCTATTAATTATCGTTTTATGTGATAGATCGTAGGAGACAACACGGTGAAAGTGCCATGCGCTAGAAAGCACTAAGCGAAGCGTAACGTTGCTTCTCAATCTAAAATGTCGCTCGATGAGCTGAATTGACAGAGAGATACTCGAGTCAGCGGGAGCGAAGTATGTTATGAATTCAAGAGTGGAACATTCTCTAATACTAACTGCAGCTAGGAACGACAACGTATTGTAGTTTAGTGCATTCAAATTATCAAATTATTCGTATGGAGTCCACAGGAGAATCTATGTGGTATGATTCACAGAATTTACATCATGCTTGATTAGTATATCTGGAAACTGAGTTGAGGTGCTATTTTGATTCAGCATAATACACTTGTTAATATAGTTGTGACGTGATAATATTTGCACTTCTCTCCATCATTATTAAGTAGAATGCGACACAATGTGAATTGCTCATAAAAATACGACGCATAGCGTTCTATTTGACACATCAGATCTACCCATTATCTCGGGTTTTAGTTCGGAAAATGTGAACTGCGTTGGAACATACGGATTAGGAAGTTTCCCGTTTCCAATTTCAACGCCGGGTTTGTGACACGGTTGGATATATGATAGCATGCTATAGATCTAATTATAACAAAGTTGTTCGTTCCTAGTCTTTGCGTAGAGTGGAGAGTGGTGCATGCCTCTAATAGATTAGTTGTTCTGTCCCCTTCTCAAGAGTGCGTATTAAATCGGGCTGTGTATAGTAAAGGATGATATAATTATAAATAAATCTTGTAATGTATAAAATATCTTGACACTGTACCTGGGGATCCGACAATAAGCGACTATAAGAGTACAGAAGATCATATATTATAGAATTACTGTGAATTCCTTATATATTGCCTCAATTTTTTTTTACGTTTCACAGCAACTATATAATATATCGCTTCATTATATAGGAGATTATTAATAATCAAGGATTTTTCGACTACCCGCGCCGGGTACTCTCGTATGTCCCTCATGGGGAACATGTTAAACTTTACACTAAACACTAGACACACATTGGCAGGCTGCTCGTTCTGAGACAAATCTACTACATGATTGAAGACGAGAGACAACAACCATATGCCACACAAGAGGTTTTGAACTAGAGACTTCACCGAACCTAAATATGTCGTAAGTTGGTCAAATAACGCTCTAGCTATCATGGAGGTCGGGCTTCCTTAGGTTTAATTATTCATAATAATATATAATCATTATATACTATCATAATGTGAACCACGGAAATGAAGCGAGTTGGGTAGTACTAGCTCAGTAGTGCAGTCACTCGAGAGTATCGAGGTGGGGGTCGTGAGATGGGTCAATTTTAAGCGCGTTTGCGTCGCGAGAGCGCTGCGTGTGATATACGTGGTTGAAGAGAGACGCATTGAGGAGCTGGCGGAAGCGGCGTTTTTCCGGATGTGGCGTGTATTTCCGCCGAGCTCAGAGAGTCGGTGGACATTTGAGCGAGCAGGGAGGAGCGGTTTCCACCGCGGGCAACAGAGGTTCTTCGTTGCAAGTGCGCTGTCTGGTTTAAGGAAATATACACAGTATACGTCGTTAGTTTGGCCAGGGGAGCAGCCAGATATTGTGCGACGCTACACATGAATGATAGGAAAATCGGCGGAATAGCTATAACATGCATTGTAAATGTCTGAGGTGGTAGAGGACGTCAGTGATACAGTCATGAGCATAACGCTCACAGTCGGAGAGGAGAAGAACGCGACCTGCCGGGAGCTGGGGGCACATAAATACCGGTCTGACAGGAGGAGAAGGCATTAGAAATGTTCGTTGGAATCAGATAATCGGAGGTCGAAGTGATAGACGTGTGAGAGAGTCCAGTCCGGCGATGCGTGCGCAATTTGACAACTTACAATCTAATATATGAGCTGTCGTCTTAGCTTCTGAGACTATAA